TTTACAAATTTCTATTTTTCCAGGAATGATTCCCTTTAATTCTTAGAGGAGGCCTTTCCTCTAGAGTGAGGAGTGAAGACATTTCTATTGGTCAGCTGGATGTTAGGAAAAAGATTTTATTGGATGAGAGCGAATTTTTCTATTGGGCTTAAAGTGAAGAAAATGTAATATAGAAGACTTAATCTGAAGAAAAGAAATATAATAAAAATGGAAAAAGAAAAGAGCATTTTGAAAATAAACATTTTAAAACTTTCAATATATATATACATATATATATGTATAAATTTAATTAAAAAAAATAACATCAGGCCATCCTAAGGACAAAACTCCCAGACCGAAGGAGCAGAGTGGTGTCTGCAATTCACTGCAATGAGGAAGAGAGGAATGCTCTGATCTTTATATTAGAGAAACCAAACAACCTCTCCACAGACGCATGGCCCAACACAGAAGAGCGCCCTCCTCTGGACAAGACTTTGCTGTACATCTACACCTTATGGACAAAAAGGACATTCTTCTGAGGAGCAGAATGTTCACATTTTGGACAAAGAAGACAGAAGGTTTGAGAGGGGCGTGAAGGAAGCCATTTATGTTAAGAAAGAAAAACCAACCTTAAACAGAGGAGTTGATTCCTTCCTGCTATCATCATGACCCCCAAACCCTTTACAAGGGAACAGAAGACCTCGCCAATTAATCCAGGCCAACAATTGCCTTTAACGACCGCCATTTCAGAGACATAGACAGGTATGGGGCATTGCAGGCTAACAAAGAAGCCAAACGACCCCCCCTTTCAGAGGCATAGACAGGTATGGGGCATTGCAGGCTAACAAAGAAGCCAAACGACCCCCAGTCCAAAGGGGTGGACCCTTTCATCCATTTTGATTTGCTTGGTTTCTAAACAAAAACAAAGCTTTGTTTGGCTACTTTATAAAGCCTTAAAAAATAATAATTTAATGGATTTTAATGATTTTTAATGATCCGCGGAAACCTTGTAATAAAGTTGGTTTCAGTACTTTATGAGCTGCTTTAGTCTTTGCCTCTAAAATATTTAGGTGCTCATGTCTACTAACTGTAAGATGCACGCTTATAATGGCTGCAAACAAGCCCAAATCACCACACCTCCACCGCCGTGCTTTGACAGCTGGCTGAACCAGTTTTTAATGATTTTTAACAGCAGACCTGTTCACTCAACAACATTGTAAATATAGATGTAAAAGTAGGACTGAAAACCTTCAGAATCATGTCTCTCAGCGCTTGGACATCTCGTAGACGCCACTCTGGCTTCTCCTGGAGCTCTTCCCGAGCTTTGGCCACCAGTTCGGGGGTCAAGGTGCAGGAATACTTGGGTGGAGGGGGTCCAGGGAACCAGCTGTGTCCTGCAGCTGCTGCACCACACGCCTGGGGGGGGAGGAGGCTAACGAGGTCATGGTGGTCAGCCATGGACTGACTGGGTCAGGCTGAAAACAGGACAGACAGACAGAAAAACAGCATTCATTCCACTTTATACAGTAATCCTCTGGTTAAAGCTTTAGGAAAAACATTGACACTTTTAAACACCAGATTTTATTTATTTATTATAAAAATACTGCTCAATATTTAAATAATTTGGGGATGCTTTTTATATAGTTTGCATTTATCCAACTGTTTTAACACTCCTTTAAACGAAACTATAAATCATCTAAATCTGATCGTGCTTCTGAACAGAACCGATGCGATAGAACCGGGTTTGGGCTAAAAACTGCAAACTAACCCGAAATAAACCAAATAATAAGCTGTTAGACAAAAGACATCTCTGTTTAACAAACACCGCTGAAGAAAACCATCAAGAGCAGCAGAAATAGACATAGAAAAACAGAGGAAACAGAAAATCAAAACAGACCTGTCAGTACAAAATCTTTTTTTCCGGGTTGTCTGAACCGCGTTCGCTCATTGGTCCATTTACACCACGTGACACTCCACTGAATGCGCAAGGCTTTGATGCGTTCATGCTCCATCGGAAAAAAGCATATCCCGGTAAGTTTCACATTAACTTTCTTGACGTCTGCTGACACTGATCAATCTCGCTGTGTAACTTTAAAGGTAAATATTAACCATTTGTATATTTAAATCATGTTTTTAGATGTTATTCCTGTCAGTTTGGCGAGTTTTCTGCTCTAGTTTGAAATTTGTTGTTATTAGTTTAGCATATTGCTACAAAAACACTTATTTTTGCCAACTGCCACCATGGAGTCCTACATTTGCAGAGCTCTTTACTTCTAATAATTTTTAAACTGTATACATCTTACAGATATTCAGCCATCTAGTGACATTACAACTTACTGATAAAACGTCACAATAATAAAATTCCATCTTCCATGAGAAGAAAAGCAACACACTTTTGTTATTTTTGTGTAAATAATAATTTATCCTTATTATTATTCTTTATAGCAAATGTTCTCAGAGTGCGGTTATTTGTCCGCCTGCTCTTTTATATTTGATTTGGGTTCATTAATTTATCATATGGCTGCAGTTTGCAAGAGCAATGCAAAGATATCTGGATGATTTGGCAGCAGAAAATATAAGTTTGTATAAAATATATATCCTGCTGCTTTCAGCTGTCAACATTAAGGACTGAAGAAGGGCCCCACCTAAGCTGGTCAGTTCCATCATGGGTTGAATTGTAGTATAGCTGATGTCATTATTATCATTTCAATCTGAAAAACTCACACACAAAGAAAAATACATTTAGAAGAATTTTATTGATACACTTTCTTTAGTTTTTGGCGCTCAGACCCCGGCAGGAAACATTAGTGCTGAATTTTTGCTTTGATATGCATAAGCAGGAGTATAAAAACAGGGATGTTTCCCCCCAGACCTGAAACTGGTGGGGGAGTGGAGATAGTTGAAGTTGGTTCAGTCCATAGAATGCTGGTTGGAGAGATCCAGTGGGCTGCGTGAGCTGATAATAGAGCCTCACTAGGGGACCTGAAGATGGAAGTCCAGCTTGGATAATACGTGTTGCATGAATCTGTACCTGATGAGCAAGCATGAAGCAACCCCTTTTTCATCATTCTGCTTCATTCTATCGCTATTCTCCGACTCTGCAGAATCTCCATCCTGGAGAGAAATATCAGCTGTGCTGCTGCCATCAACACCTTTGTTTCTAGATGCTTGAGATTGGCCTGTTTTCCAGTGTAGTCCTGTTTCTCTGACTGTGACTAACTGGATGTGCTCTCTTCATCCTCTGACATGTGAGGTTTCTTCCTGTTCAAAGGGAGTTTTTCCTCTCCACTGTCGCTACAAGCATGCTTAGTGTGAGGGGTTGCATTCGAGTCAATGACATGCCTTGAGATGACATGTGTTGTGAATTGGCGCTATAGAAATAAAGTTAATTGAACAGAATTAAATATAGTCTATACACCTCTCCTAAACAGAAGTGGATTGATTACCCCAAGATATTAGCACTATTGCACTATTTTTTAAACATTGTTTTTACTCCAATAGAAGTAAAAGTCATTGAATTAATTACTAAAGTGAGAGTAATTGGTAAAATAGCTTCTCAAGTAGTTATTATTTATTGGCCTTGTTACATCAGATTTAAAAGGATGTAATCAGAAAGACATTTATGTACAAATTGGATAAGATAAAGATAAAAAAAACAACTAAAAATAAAATAATTTCAAAATAACACATTTGAGCAGAAGAAAGACTTTTCCAATTCAAACTTTTCAACATAAATTAAAAAAAATCACTCCTTATAGTAGGTATTAAGTAAGATTAGGGTTGAATCAATTAATCAGATTTATCAATTATTGAAATAATCATCAACTAATATAGTAATCGAATAATTGTTGAAACTCTAAAACACGTTCTTTAGCTGAAGAGAACTTAGAGCAGCAATTATAAAAATAAAAAAGACAATGTAAGAATTTTGTATTCAAGATAAAACATTTTCTTCTGTTAATCTGCTTTATCCTGAACGCCTCAAGCGGAAAAGTTTTAGTTTCACCTCATTTCATTTCATAAAAAGCATTCTTTAAAGATCCTTTTGCTATTATCAACAGATTAATCGACTCGTTAAACAATCATTAGTTGCAGCCTCACATAATTTATCAAGAAAGGATGAAAAACTTCTACAATATCTACTGTTTCTGTATACAGGGGCTGATCCAGAGGGGGGCAATCAATGGCCGCTTCTACCAGGTGATTGGATGTAATTCACCGCCACTGGAACAAGCAGTTCTCTTCTAAACCAGAAGGTGGCAGCAGTGATACCATCTTGTAGAATGTCCTACTTTAACATTTTAAGGTTAGTATGTTAACCAAAAACTGACAAAACAAATATAGCAATGAATTATTTATAACAATATACTATTAAAGAGGAGTAAGAATGAGTTTTTATGTTTCTTAGGGTAGTTTGTCTCTGCAGGCATCTAGATTTCTTTTATGTAATTACAGATAAAGAACATCAGCTCAGCCCTTTTAATGTGTATATTATATTGAACCATAAATTACTATCTCATCTGTGACATCATCCTGGAGATAAATATCAGCTGGACTGCTGCCGTCAACACCTTCAGTTATAGATGATAGAGCTGGGGCTGTTTTTCAGTGTTTAGTCCTGTTTCTCTCCCAGACATTACTGTGCCTAACTGGATCTTCTCTCCTTCATCATTTTGACATTAAAACTGGGTCAGAGTTCGTCTGATTATGGATTGTTTCCCAGTCAGAGCCACCTGTGGAGCTAGATTACTGTTAATGATAATAATTGAACTTTATTGATCTCTCATTGGAGAAATTTAACTCTTCATTTAACCCATCACCTTGGGGAATGGGGTTAAGTGTCTCGCTCTGAGAGCCAGAGTGGAGGTTGTGGGATTGGGACTCAAACTCAGAACCTCAGGTTTCCAAGTGCTATGACCTAACCACTAGGCCACCACTCCCCACCAGCTTTGCTAACGTGTCCTCCAACCCCCAGACGGCTTCAGCAGACGGCGGCTCACACTGAGCCTGGATCTGGTGGAGGTTTCAACCTGTTAAAAGAAAGTTTTTCCCTCCACTGTCGCTGCATGCATGCTCAGTTTGAGGGATTGATGTGGAATCAGCAGCAAAATGGAGACGAATGTCTACTGTCTCCTCATGCTCATCCAGTAACTGGATGCAATCAGTTGGTTTTCCTTAGAGACATGTAACCAAGTGCCATATCGCTGCAACTAAGCATTATTTTGCAAATTGATTAATCTGGGTCTCTTAGCAAGACCTTTAACCCCACACTTCTCCCCAGGCACCCCACAATGGCAGCCCACTGCTCCCCAAAGGGAATGCACTGGAAAAATAAGTAAAAATATATTAGATTAAGTGTATTTACCCTTATTTTGATTAGGTAAATGAGATAGTTTGCCAATGGAATGAGTATTTTTACTCTTAAAATAAGATAATTAGATAATATGCACTTAAAATAAGACAATGCTATTGTGTTTTTTTTTTTTATTATAAATGTAAAGGATCTTGTTCCATTGGAAAAATGTCTCACTTACCTCCTAAATCCAAGAACAAATGCATTGACTTAAAAAATTATAATAATGTTAATAATTATAATTATTATATAATTATAATATATGTATTATATGTAATATATATGATAAAAACAATAATACTTACACTGCAAAAAATCTAAATCTAGATAAGTCTTTTTTTTTTTTATTACTGTATTTGTTCTTGAATTGAGGAGATAAAAGAGCCATTTTGCCAATGGAACAAGATAATTTACATTTAAAATAAGAAAACACAATTGCTTTGTCTTATTTCAAGTGCATATTATCTAATTATCTTATTTTAAAAGTAAAATTACTCATTCCATTGGCAAACTATCTCCTTTACCTACTCAAATTAAGGGTGAATACACTTAATTTAAGACATTTTTTACTTATTTTTAGATCGTTTTTGCAGTGTATTAGTGTTATTATTATTTTATCGGTTAATCAGTTAATAATCGGATATCCAGTGGTTCTCGAAAGAAGACTTTTTACCAAATTAAAATTCAGGAAATGCTTTTTTAAATCTTAAATCCAAAATATTTACATATTATTTTATTGGCATAATTAAGTGGGTCGCTCCTTCAGCTAAAGGCATGTTTTACAGTCTATATACTCCAATTAATGATTCATCAATTACTAAATTAGTTAACAATTATTTCAATAATCAATTAATTATCATTAATCTGATTAATTGTTTCAGCCTTAGCTGCACTGGAAAAAGATCTAGAAATATGTAAAACTGTCTTAAATTAAGTGTA